GGCCTAACCAGTGTTCTGTATAGATTAACCATAACCTCCCTACTCTTATACTCTATGCCCCTACTAATAAAGCTCAGTACACCAAATGCCTTTTTTACTGCCTTATCCACCTGCCCCGCTACCTTTAATGGTTCGCTTACTTGAACACCCAGATCTCTCTGTATGTTCACCCCCCTTAAGATTGAGCTACCAAGTCTATATTGCCTCCTATCATTCTTCCTACCGAAGTGTATCACCTCACAATTATCCACGTTCAAATCCATCTGCCACATGTCAGCCCATTCCACTATTCTGTGTATGTCTGCTTGCAGTTGGTTACAGTCCTCCTCACCATTTACTACCCTACCCAACTTTGTATCATCTGCAAACTTGGAAATAGTGCTTTCTATGCCCAAGTCCAGATCATTAATATATATTAGAAAGAGCAGTGGTCCCAATACCGATCCCTGGGGGACACCGTTGCACACCTCCTTCCATTTCGAGAAACACCCATTAACCACCACCCTCTGCTTTTTGTCAATCAGCCAGTTCTTAATCCAAACTGCCACTGTCCCCTTAATACTGTGGGCCTCTAATTTTTGTATTAATCTCTTATGCGGTACTGTGTCAAAAGCCTTTTTGAAATCCATGTAAATAACGTCCACCGCATTTCCCTCATCAACCCTCGCAGTCACCTCTTCAAAAAATTCTATTAGATTTGTTAAGGCAAGATTTGCCTTTAACAAATCCATGTTGACTGTTTCTAATTACCTCGTGTTCCTCTAAGTAGAGATTTATTCTGTCCCGGATTATGGTCTCCAATAGTTTTCCTATTACTGAAGTTAGGTTGACTGGCCTGTAATTTCCGGGTTTGTCTTTCTGCCTCTTTTTGTAGAGGGGGTTAACATTAGCCACTCTCCAGTCAATTGGCACACTCCTGTGTCCAATGACGATTGAAATATAATGGCCAAAGCCTCCACTATTTGAACCCGTATCTCCCACAGCAACCTTGGGTGAAACCCATCTAGTCCTGGTGACTTATCAATTTTGAGCCCAGTCAATCTTTTCAGAACTTCCTCTCTGTCTATAGTAATCTGATCTATTTCCTCTGCCCACTCATCCAATACTGCGGCATTTGGGGCATCCATTTCCGTTGTAAAGACAGATGCAAAGTACTCGTTCAGTACATCAGCCGTGCCCTCTGCCTCCACAACAAGATTGCCGTCATTGTCTTTGATTGGCCCCACCCTACCTTTAAGTAACCTTTTTTCGTTGATGTGCTTGTAAAATGTTTTAGGATTCCCCTTTATGTTACCCGCTAACCTCTTCTCATGCGATCTTTTAGCCTGTCTTATCACTCTTTTAAGATCACTCTGGCATTCTCAGTGTCTTGCTTTGCTATCCTCAGTGTCTTGCATCTTCCAATTGTCGTACGTCGTCTTCTTCTTTTTCATCCTAGACAGAATATCCCTGGTCATCCAGGCTGGCTTGGTTATCGCACATTTCCCTTTTGTGGGAATATATCTATTTAGACTTTGAGCTATCATATCTTTGAAGATCTCCCATTGCTCATGAGTCGTTTTACCTGCTAATCTTACTTGCCAGTCCACCAACTCTAGGTCCCTTTTTAGCCCATCAAAATTAGCCCTTTTCCAGTCAAGCATTTTCACCCTTGACTGTACTTTGTCCTTGTTCATGAGTAATCTAAATCTAGTAATATTATGGTCACTATTACCTAGATGCTCCCCTACCGAAACCTATTCAACCTGACCTATTTCATTCCCCAGAACTAGATCCAGCAATGCTTCCTTCCTCGTAGGACTGGAGACATACTGCTCAAGAAAATTTTCCTGTACACAGTCTATGAATCTTTCTCCTGCCTTGCCCTTAGTGCTGCTATTTTGCCAGTCTAGACTGGGATAATTGAAATCCCCCATTATCACAACTCTGTTCGCCTTACATCTATCTGCGATCTGGTTGCAGATCTGCTCCTCTATCTCCTTCCCGCTGTCTGGTGGTCTATAGTAAACACCTATCAATGTAACCACTCCTTTCTTATTTCATATCTCTAACCAGATGGATTCTATTGTGGGGCCCTCCAGAGCCTCGTTCCTTTCTACAGCTATAATTGTATCCTTAACTAATATTGCCACCCCTCCTCCTTTTCTTCCTTCTCTATCCTTCCTGAAAACATTATGTCCTGGAATATTTAACTCCCATTCCTGTCCTGGTTTGAGCCATGTCGCAGTTACTACCACCACATCATAACCCCCTACGGCCAGTTAAACCTGCAGCTCATCAACCTTATTCCCTAAGCTACGTGCATTTAGGTACATGCATTTGAGGAAATTGTCCGCTTGTACCTGCTCTACACTTCCCACTTGTCTTTGTCCTCTAATCTCTAATCCATTGTTTATCCTTGGATACCCATCCCCCCTTGACACTAGTTTAAATCCGCCCCTACAGCATTTGATAATCTCTTGGCAAGGAAGCTCACCCCTGCCTTGCTTAAGTGCTGCCCATCCTCAAGGTAAAGATCCCACCTCCCCCAGTAGTGATCCCAATTGTCCAGAAAATGGAAACCTTCTTTTCCGGACCATTTCTCCAGCCAATCGTTCATGTGCCTGATCCTTTCATTATGGTGCCTTGTTGCCCGAGGTACCGGGAGTAACCCAGAGATCACCACCTTGAATGTTCTGGACTTGAGTTTGCTCCCCAGGTTTTGATACTCGCCCTGGAACATCTCAGCCCTCTTCTTACCAATATCATGGGTCCCCACATGGACCACGACTTCTGGACATTCTCCTTCCCCCCGAAGAATCTTGTCCATGCGCTCTGTGAAGTCCACTACCCTTGCACCAGGAAGGCAGCAAACCATCCTAGCCTAACGATTCTGATTGCAGAAGATCCTGTCAGTGCCTCTTACTGTTGAATCCCCGATCACAACTGTATTGCCCTTATGAACCATGCCCTTGTCCTATTGGACAGAATGTCCACTGCTGTCCTCACGAGAGGCTTCCACGCTCTCGATGGCTAATGTTGAGTACCGATTAGAGACTGGTACTCTGTTGGGGGTGCTCTGCCTTGAACAAGGCCTCTTCTTGCCCCGTCGCATCGTCACCCAATCACTTTTAGCATGAATGAAGGCTGGCTGTGTGTTGGGCTCCTCTGGGAATGGTCCTTTTCTTGAACTCTGACCTCCCGATAGCTCCAGTACCTCTCTCTCACGGCTCCTATACAGCGATGGGCTGCTATAACTGAGTCCTAGGAGAGTGAGGGTCCCCTCCACCATGCTGTCCAAGAACCTCTCACTGTCCCTGATGGAGCGCAGTGTCTGCACCTGAGACTCCAGCTCAGCTATTCTAAGTTGGAGCTTGCTCAGTTGCAGACGTTTGCTGCAGATGAAGTCACCTGGGCTCAGGTTGCCCTCCATCAACTCCCACATACCACATTCCTCGCACATCACCTGCCAGGCCATGAACTATCTGTCTATCTACATTATATATGTGAAGGTTGATCCCATGTCTGCGGATGACATCACCAAGAGGGAGCATATAGATGAGGCAAAGAAGGGGGCCAAGGATGGAGTCTTGGGGTACCACGAAGATGACCAGGTGGGGATGAGAGGAAAAACCATTGGCTGAAATGAAGCGCTGGAGGTTGGTTGAGTAGGACTCAAACCATGGTCCCAATAAGATGTGTGAGTGTGGAGAGGCGGTGGAGGAGGATGGCGGGGTCGACTGTGCCAAACGCAGCAGTGAGGTCTAGGAAAATGGGGAGGCAGAGGGAGCCCTGGTCTCAGAGTGAGAGGATGTAATTTGTTACTTTCACGAGCGTTATCTTTGTGCTGTGGGCTGGGTGGAAATCGGACTGGAGGGGCTCAAGTAGGGAGTGGAGGGAGAGATGTGAGAGAAAGGAGAGATGAGGGCAAAGGAGTGTAGGTTGGGGTACATGGTAGGAGGCATGGGAGGAGAAGTGGGTAATGGAAAAGGAATGGGAAGGGGGGATGGACATGGGGCAGGAGGAGGCAGCCAGGTGGATGTTGCCTATCTTGGAGATAAAGAAATCCAAGATCTATTCGTACTTTGCGTTTAATGTTAGGATTGAGGATGCTTCATGGGGTGCGCGGAGGAAGTATTATAGCTTCTTATCATGTCTGAAGAATGCCTTAAAGCATTTCACTGGAATTATTGTGAAATGGAGTGACTGTGTATTTGTAGTCAAATGCAGCAGCACAGTCGTGCACAGGAATGTCCCACAAACAGACATGAAAAGAATGACCAATTTTATTTGGGGGATTGTTGGCCAGGAAACTCCCTTCTCTTTTTGAAAATTGCCATGGGATCTTTGACATCCTGAACTGGCAGATGGGACCTCAGTTTAACGTTTCATCTATAGGATGGCATTTATGACAATAAAAACGTTGCCCCAACAGGAGTGTAGGTTGGGGCTGTGGTAGAAGCCATGGGAGGAGAAATGAGTAATGGAGAAGGAATGGGGTGGGGATGGCAGTCATGGGGCAGTGGAGTATCAGCTTAGATGATGGAAGTTCAAGTTCTGACATGGGGAATGAACCTAAATCCTTCTGACTCAGAGTGATACCACCGAGCCAAACTGACACTCTTATAAATTTGTACTATAATTAGATGTATCTGGTTTACATATCTGAGACAAGATGATTTGAAATTATTTTTGGTCATCTTAAAAAAGGAATTGGGTATCTCTCTTACTAAACAGTAGTACATACAAATCAATGGAGGAAATCTACCATTAAATTTTAGAGGAGATTAAACATAACTTGTTTGCATTAGATTTGTTTCAATCTGTTCAAAATGTCACCGCTAATAAAATTATCGTAGCTAGCAAAAGGCATCATAGTAATCCTTGTATTTGACATAGGGTCTCTATCTTCGACCACGCCCTCGGCCACCTTCCTACTTCTACCTTCCCTGCCCTCCACCCCTCATGATCTGAATCTCCTGCTCGGTTCCAAAACCCTGACTTTCCAGCTGGTTGCATCCTCTCGAAGTAGAAGGCAATGTACAAATGTAATTTGTGATTGATGTTGTTGTATTTCAAGTTGGAAGGTCATCTCAAGGCACTTCAAATGATTTACTGTAAAATGTAGTGACTGTCTATATTCCGACAAACGCCTTACTCAAATGTGCTGATAACAGTTTCCAATTAAATTCTGATGACGACCTTTATCTGACTTCCCCAATTCTAGCCAATAAATACAAGATCCAAATGTGCAAGACCAACCATACCCTGAAGACTCTCAACAGTTCTGACTGAAGACTTAGCAAGACGCCCAGAGGAAGCAAAAATGAAGACCCAGGTGATGCTTTTGCTCCTGGCAATAGTTGTCACTTTTGTGGCTGTGGAAGGTAAGGATTAAGTTGCATCAATTATACTTAGTGAGACTTCTTTCCAAAACAATTCTATCATTTAAAGTAGGTCACTATTCACCAAATAATCAACAATGCATTCTTTAGCTAGGGGTAACCTTTTAATATAAATAATTAAATGGCATTTCAGTGGTTCTTTGACTGTATTGTCTTTGGTTCAGTCTTTCCATTTTAAACCCATGTATCGCAGATGCAACCTATTCAATTGATGAAAAATTTCTCTGGATTAGATATTTCATGGGTAGTTATAGTTTACATAAAATCTTTACACAGCTTTCTGATTTTAAAAAGAAAACAAGACAAAGAAAACATGCATTAAATGGTAACAGATGAGCTCACAGAATGATTGTGTTTTCTCTTTGATCTGTGACTAATTCAATTACATTGGTTACCATTCTAAAAGATTTCATACAATCATGAAAAGTTTGCACCACAGTAGGAAGCTGTTTTAACCCTGAACCAGTGAACAAGAGCTGCTTCACAGGATGCTGATTGAGTTAAGTCAGTTTGTATCAAATTATAACTGCACTCAAACGGAGGTCTTTGTGATCAGCAATGAGCAGAGAAATCTTTCGCTCCAACCACAAGTCTGCGGCGAGGAACAAGCTGAGAGTTCTGGTCATCCTTATGTCTTATGCAATTATTATCTCTTTCAGGAAGCCTAGGACCTGGAATTGAATCAAAATGTAAATGTATTAGAACTACATCTGCTTTCATCCACCCAAGAAAATACCAACATGTTGACATTTTTCCTCAGAGCACCCTTTGCAGAAGAGTGGAAATCATGTAAGTATTAAAGGAAATATTTTCTTCTGCTTTACAGTAACAAAGTGTTGGACTAAGACAACTATTTAAAATATCATATCTCTGGAGAAATTACATTTTAAATGTCACACAATGTAAAGCTGTCTAACTTGATCATCTTGGGATGGTTATTGTAGCCAGCTAGTTCAGCAATGCATTTATCATATTATATCACTACTAAATTGCCTCATGATTGTCCAGTCAGGTGGAAGAGGTGGAACAAAGCCATTTAAGTTTTATCTTTAACAGTATAACTAGAGGTGTTTCTGTTTGTGATGTGCTACAGAATTCGCCTCATCAACAAGAGGGTTGTTTGTATCAATCCAGAGACTGCATGGGTCAAGAAAGTCGTCAGCATCATAACAGAAAGGTATGGATCCTTTGACATTACATTTTGTATATTTCTGCCTGTTTTATCAGTGTCTGAAAGCATTTAATATTTCTTCCATTAGAAACATAGGAATATAGAAACTAGAGAATTGACAGATGTTAAATCCAATTTCCTTGTCTTTTTCTATATATTTTAATTCTTATTTCCCAAGTATAAATCGCCATTAAAAAAAACCCTATCTGTGTTTTATGCTTATTAGGGTGATTGCTTCATCTATCTATGCATGATTGTGTGTGTATGCATTTCTCCATTTGAGACTGCTAACAGTTAGAGGATCTATTCTCCCTCTGTTTTCCTCCCTCAAAATTAGTGAGAGGATTAACTACCATAATCTCTCATTTATGGAGTTAATATCTGACAAAATGTGACATTACCTCAAGGAACAAAATAATACTTAACTCAAGCCTATAATTCCCGTGGTATCCATGCGATGGTTTTGTTTTGCCCAGGAGACTTGAGCAATTGCAATCAATTTTTTTAATCATAAGTATATTTTTATATATTGGACCAAATTAATTTCACATATTTTCTATTTTTTCAACAGTAAGCGAATTGTACCTTCAGAGGAGACCTCTACATAAGAAATATGAAAAAAAATTGAACAAAATGAATTTCACTGCACACCAAAAGCCATATCTCTATTCTCCGACTGTTGTATTACAGCCTCAGAAATAGATTGTTCCCATTATTTTAACCAGCTTATAGCCTGCAACAATTTAAACTATATACAGCCAATTTTAACAATCTCTAGTAGTTTCTTATTCCATTTTCATATAGTTTTTTGAGGGGATGCAATGTTTTACTGTCGCAAAATATGAACCAGTACATTTGAAACAGTCTGTATTCGTGAATGTGCAAAGATTTTGCACGCTCAAATTTAATTTTGGAAAAGTCTGTGTGGATATGTAGAAAAAATATCCTCTCAGTCTTATTTGCAGAGATTGTTCTTATGTTGATTATTTACTTGAATGTTTACCTTTCTTTTGCTAAATCAAGCTGAGTATTTTGCCAAAATACTGTAATTGTAGTTTTACACTGAAATCCGATACAACAGTACTGTGAAATCAGTATGATGTTTTGCCATTTCAGTAGACATTGTAAAGTCAGGTAGAGTGCATAGCAAATGATATATGTGCATAATGTTATAATGTGCGTCCGTTTTGTACTTATGGCTGTTTTTATATTTGTAAATGTGGCTAATAAAATGGCGTTTTTAAACATAGTGTGTTACATGAAACTATTTGTTAATAAATGATTCAAATGTCCCCAAAATAGTCTAGTTAACCTTTCATTTTAGTGAATAAGATTTATATTATTATTGTTCACAAAGGATGACTTTAACAGTCCACATGCCTACTCTGCCCACCCCATATTCCTTTGCCTTTTATTTCCCCAGTCACTCCATCCCTCATGCCTTCTTCCTCGCTCCCCATCCCTTTCTAACCCATTGAAACTATCCTCCTCCTTTATCCCTCTCGCTCACTACCTGCTGCCTTATTACTCACCAGATGCCCAAAATGCTCTGTGTACTTAGAGCGATAGCAAAACCGGGTAAACAAATGATCAGTGCAGAAGTGTGACTGTTGTTAAATATGATATTCCTGGGTCAAGTTCAGAAAGGAAACATTTCTGTGGTCAATGCAGGAAAACATTTATTTGGCTACAGCACCTCATGGAGAATGGGGCACAATTAGCCATAGCCAAGAAAAGGATGGGGACATTTTTTTGACAAGTCCTCATGGCATGGCCTCATGGCATGGTATGAAACGCACTATACTGAATATAAGGATTATTATTTTGCAGAAGCTGGGAAAGTGTTCAATTTTATAGCTTTTTTTTGGAGATCAATGAGAATACAGCATTTCATACCAGAGTCAGTGTGAAACTTAGTCTTTCATTGGCTGAATACACAGCACACATGGAGCTCTTTCCTTCTCAATATCATCTGATACCTTACCATTTCTCTCAGTAAAAGAGTACACTGTGGCCTGAGCCATGTCTATGGGGCTAGATATCTTTATTTTGTTGCGGATTATTTCTTCCAGTTATCCTGGTTTGTATTTCTCTCTCATTCAAATTTACAAATTTAAAGTCAATCCGGGCCATAGGTACCCAGCGGAGCCAGTATGCATGGGAATAATGAGGTATGGAAATAATGGCGATGCGAACAATATAATACAAAATTGCATTTGCATAGCACCTTTCCCGTTGAGAGGACGTCCCAAGATGCTAGACAGTCAGGAATTTGGACCCAATTGGGGTGGGGGGGGCTGGGATCAGGGAGGGTGGAGGGCAAGGAGGGTGGCCAAAGGTGTGGTCCAAGAGACATTCCTTGAAGGAGGCAGGGAGGGAGCCAGGCCAAGGGAATGTGGGATGGAGCTCCAAAGGGTAGGGGTAGAGAGGCTGAAGGCCCGATCATCAATGGTGGGGCGGACAGAGCCTGGTGGAACATCGAGCAGCCCAGAGCCTGCTGAGCGGAGGGAGTGGACAGATTGATATGGGGATAGCAGGTCACAGAGGTAGGAGGCGGCAAGGCCGTGGATGACCTTGAAGGCGAGGATAAGGACTCTGGAAAGGTTTGACCTATTGTGAAATTATCAGAAAAGCGTTGAATCTAGTTCAGGAGAAATTCTTTTTGCTACCCATGGTATCAGGAGAAACAAATCGTGGCTCAGGGTCCCAGAATACATCCCAATCTGTAAAAGTGCAGGAATGATCCTAGCAGAGCAGAATTTCATTAAAAGTACACAATTCCAGGTGGTTAGTTCCCTCTCCCACTGGATGATTGGGTTTGATTCCTGGGCAGGGTGACACCTCAGGCAGGGTTTTACTCCACACGCTTCTATTTACCGAGCAGAAAGTAGGAACCCGGTTGTTAGTCGATTAGTGGATTGCTTCCCCCAAGGAATCATCCCTCTCAATAAATAAATAATTTGGTCACTCAATCAATGACTGTTTGTGCACACTTGGCTGCTGAGTTTCAGCCACAAAATATAAAGTCAACTAACTTTACAGTATATTCTGTGAAGTGATTTGAAACGTCTCAACGACGCAATAACGAGCTATTTCAAAACACAAATGCAAAATAAGATTAAGACACATATATCTTATTTGTGTATAGAGGTTCACTGCTGAGGAAAATGGCTTTTTCAACTGTAATAACTGTTGTGCCTATTTCTCTTCAGCAAAAACACCATGGCAACAGTCTGACCATGATTGGAATAGGATACACACGACAGCGGTCGTTTACAGATTTTGCTTCACTGAATGAATTAATTTTAATATCCAATCTAGACAAAAAAAATCTCTTACATAAGTTAAACACTTCCCTCCTGAGCTGCCAAACGTTTAAAGGCAACAATAACAACAAAATTACATTTGTATAGCGCCTTTCACATCAGGAGGACGTCCCAAGGCGCTGGACAGACAAAGTTACGGACCCGAGCTGGGGGTCAGCATGTGGGGGTGGGGGAGGGCAGTGGGGTAAGCAGGGAGATCGAAAGCTGAGCAGAGGGAGCGAACAGGGTAGTCGGGGATTAGGAGGTCGGAGAGGTAGGGGGGAGCAAGACTATGGAGGGCTTTGAAGGTGTGGACCAGGAAGGTAGACTATAACAGAAAGTGGTCACATTTAACAGAGCAGAGGTTGTCAACTACAATACACCTTTGCTACATTTACTGATGACAATCCCTTTACTACATTACAGAAAAGGTTTTGCATACACCAAACCGCCAAATGCTTCGAAGAGTCAAATCACTCACGTTTTGTGTATTGTAAATGAGAAGGTTCATACTTAAAACCCTGTGCAATAATAATAATAATAATAATAATCCTTGTATTTGATATAGCGCCTTATCACGTCTTCGGAATGTCTCAAAGCGCTTCTCAGAATATACTGTAAAAGTGAATTGACTGTATATTTTTGGACGAAATGCAGCAGCTAATTGCACACAGCAGTGTCCCACAAACAGTCGTGGATTGAAGCAACTATTTTTTTCTTTAAGGAATTATGCCTGCTGGAAAAGCGATCAGTCAATCAACTAACAATCGTGTTCCTACTTACTGCTAGATAAACAGAGGTATGTGGTGCAAGGAAACTTGTTGCCCTGCCGGGAACCGAACCCAGGTTCTCTTGCTGGCGAGGCGAGTGCTCTAACCACTGAGCTACAGGACTCCAATGTTCCCAAGTTATGCAACTAACTCATATCTGTTAACTACAGCACATTTAAAACTCTGTTACTCTGAATCTATAACAAACTAATTAAAAAGAACAACAACAACTTGCACTTATATAGCACCCTCCAAACATGGTAGCGTCTCAGAGCACTTAACAGAGGCGGAACCTGACTCCGAATCGGGGGAAGGGGGGAGGTGACTGTAAGCACTTTCGAAGAGGAAAGTTTTCAGGCAGGACTTGAAAGAGGGGAGAGATGGAACAAGGCAGTGAGGGAGTGCGTTTCAGAATTTTGGGGTGGTGGCTGAAAGCACGACCTCCGATGGTGGGGCGGAGGGTACGAGGGATGAGCAGGAGGCTGGTGCCAGTCAAGCGGAGGTGCCAGGTGGTGGATTGCGCAGTGAGGAGGTCGGAGGGGTAGGGAGATGCCAGGGAGTGAATAGATTTGAACACGAACCTTATCAAAAGCTCTAAATATTTTCATGCTTACATAAATTATATATATTTGACACAATACCTCCTGAAACTGACTCAATCTGTAGAAAAAAAAAGAATATTTTTTGTGGTCTGCGCCATAGCAAATGTTGGATTCACCTCAGGCATTCTTATTTTCAAAAAGGCTCTGCTGCAAAACTTTTGGTACTTTTAATCTACATAAACAATTGATACAAGATGTGTCAACACTGTGCCTACTTAACTCCAAATGTCACTGTTGAGAGACTGAAGGTTTCTTTACCACCACTGACTCATTTAAGGATAAGCAAGGCAGAAGTGATTCAAATCAAACTTGAATTCAGTTAGAATCAAAGGATCCTCTTATTTAACAAAACACAATGTACAATATGTTACCATTTCTGGAAGAAAAAAATGATTAACATATCTTCCTTGCACTAGCAATAACAATCTTCCTTACACTAGACTAAATGGTTTCCTTACACTAGTATTAAAGTATGAATAAGGTCAAATAGGACTGATGGACCTGTTTGATCTGCATATTCTTTAGTGCTAAGGATCAGCCAATGATTAACAACAACAACAACTTGAATTTATATAGCGCCCTCCACGCTGGACGGCGTCTCAGAGAGCTTCACAGTGACAGATCCTGGGGCCGAGCCAGGGGAAGGGGGGAGAAGGTGACCAAAGGCACGATTGAAAAGAAAGGTCTTTAGCCGAGATCTGAAAATAGGAAGAGAGGAGGCAAGGCTAAGGGAGTGAAGAAGGGAGTTCCAGAGCCTCGGGGTGTAGTGGCTGAAGGCATGGCCGCAGATGGTGGACCGGAGGATTCGGGGGACAAGGAGGAGGCCAGACCTGGTGGAGCGCAGGCAACAGGCACTTTTGTGAGGAGAGAGGAGGTCAGAGAGGTAGGGGGGGTGCAGAGGAGTGGAGGGTTTGAAGACAAGAGTGAGGATCTTGAAGTCGATACTCTCTGGGATAGGCAGCCAGTGCAGTCTGGCAAGGACTGGGGTTATCGGGGAGCAGAGTTTGGTGCGGGTAAGAATGCGGGCGACAGAGTTCTGGATGACCTGGATTTTATGAATGGTAGTGGAGGGGAGACCAGCGAGGAGGGCATTTGAATAGTCCAGCCGAGAGGTGACGAAGGCATGGACTAGGGTTTCGGCGGCTTTTGGGGTGAGATATTGTATTAATCAAGTGTGATGGAAACGGTCAGACAACTGAGTTGAGATTCTGACTGATCATCAAAAGTTGCAAAGGGAAGATTTAAGAGATTTAAACTGATAAACAAAAATGTGTAAATGCAGCATGCAAAGAAATCAATAATAAATCAAATCAAAGTGAAATAAGTGACTAAGTTTTTCTCCGAAAGACGCTGAAACCGTTTTTTTCACTCTTCTATTTACGCATCTAGATAGCTGAATGCCTGAAGCTTTATGTATGGGTTTTGCATTCATTTGTCAGAAAATGTGAACTTTTAATAATATAAATATAATAATCCTTGCATTTGATATAGCGCCTTATCACTTCTTGGAGACGTCTCAAAGCCCTTCACAGAATATACCGTAAATTGAATTAACTATGTATTTTGTGGGTA